GTCTGGGGTTCTCCAAGGGCAGCCACCAGCATGATGCGGGGCTCTAGGCCAAGCCCCGGCCTCTCCCGGCCTCAGTTTCCTCTCACTGGAGGGTCCTTCCAGGCGGTGGACAGTGATCCAAGGGGAGGCCGGGGTCACCAAGAGTTCAGTGTGGGGCCAGGGTGGGTGGGGTCAACTGACAGCTGAAAACTCAGTCCCTCCATGAATGCCAGGAACGAGATAAGGGGCCGGCAGGGCGCCACCTCCACGCCAATTGCCAACTCTCTCCCTCCTCCCAGTTCAACAAATATTTATTAAGCAAGGCCTCTGGAGCCAGACTGCCTGGGGTCAGAGCCCAGCAGAGCCACTTTCTGCCTGGGTGACCTCAACCTCTCAGGATGATCTCAAGTTCTCTGGGCCTCAGTTTCCTGGGCTGTCAAATGGGTTAAATGAGCTCATACAAGCACTTAGCACCCTGCCTGGCACGGGGTGGGTGCTGTACAAGCAGCAGCCTCAGCCTCCTCCTCTTCTTCCTTATTTTTATTTGAGGAGAAACACATCCATTTTAAAATGAACAATCCAGTGGCATTTAGTTCATTCACAACGTTGCGCACTCACCACCTCTATCATCTAGTTCCAGAACATTCTCATCATCTCCAAAATAAAACCCCACACCCACAAAGCAGTCACTCTCTATTCCCCTTCCTGCAGCCCCTGGCTACCACTGATGGGCTTTCTGTCCCTATGGATTTGCCTTTTCTGGACATTTCATGTCAGTGCAATCATACGATATGTGGCCTTTTTTGTCTGGCTTTTTTCCCTCAGCATAACGTTTTCGATACATGTTGTAGCATGTCTCAGGACTTCACTCCTTTTCATGGCTAGGTAATATTTCATTGTATGCATGGACCACACTGTGTTTGTCCGTTCATCCACTGATGCACATTTGGGTTGTTTCTACCTCTTGGCTATTGTGAATAAGGGTGCTACGAACACGTGTACATTTATTTGTTTGAGTGTCTGTTTCGATTCTTTGGGGTATAAACCCGTTGTTCTCGAGTTGATTCCGACTCGTAGCGACCCTATAGGACAGAGCAGAACTGCCCCATAGAGTTTCCAGGGAGTAGCTGGTGGATTCAAGCTGCTGACCTTCTGATTAGCAGGCCAAGCTCTTTAACCACTTCCTCATCAGGGCTCCTTGGGGCATACGCCCTCATTTTTATTACGGTTATTATTGGCCTGGCACTGAGCCGGGCACGAATGACACACAGTCCTGCCTGCATGGAGCTCACAGTCTGGTGGAGTTCAGAAAATGGAGTAACTGGGTGTATGTTCAGGAGAAGGATATCTGAGATGGGACCAGCATTATTTAATGAATGATGGCAGCAAGCTCAGGCTCCTCCCTTCCCCAAATTGAAGGAAGGCAGAGACCCCACCCACCCACCAGCACCCAGCCCCCTTTTCACATACCCTCGTGCCTCCCCACCCCATCATATTAAGTGTCCTCTGGCTGAATATCATCCTCTCCCCACCCTCTGCCACTGAATAAGCACGCAGAGGGGAGACACCACACCATGAGGCAAGAGGTCCTGTCCAGAGACCCAAATTCAAATTCAAGTCCTGGCTCTACCACTAAAAAGCTGTTTTGTGATGTTTTGCAAATAATTCCACCTTAATAATAATAAGGCAATATAGCAAAGTCGTAATAATAATTATAGCTATCACTTGCTAAGCATTAACCTCCTCCCAGGCACTGTACTCAGGGCGTTACCAGGATTAACTCATTTAACCCTTACACACGGGTCAGCAAATGTTTTTCTGTAGAGGGCCAGAGACTAAATATTTCAGGCTTGGCCGGCCACATGGTCTCTTTCTCAACTACTCAACTCTGCAGCTATAGGACAAAAGCAGCCAGGGACAATGCTTACACGAATGGGTGTGGCTGTGTTGTGATAAAACTTTATTTACAAATACATGCCACCACCCCCCCCCCTTGGACTTTAGGTTGCAGACCTCTGCCTTACATGAATACTGAGGTTGATGCTATTATAAATTCCATTTTACAGACGGGCACTTAAGTCACCTGCCCAAGGTCACAGCTAGGCAGTGGCAGAGCTGGCCCTCAAGCCTACACTGGTTCCCTGCAGCGTCTCCTGCACAGCCTCAGTCTCTCACCCACCAAACAGGAGGAACCAGTGCCTGATGCCAGCGCCTGACGGTTAACTGCCCCCGCCTGGGGTAACGGCTGGGCAGGCAGGTTCTGGGCCCTCGCTCACTGCGGTAACAGAGACAGAGACGGGATCTGGCTTTGGGGACAGAGAGGGTTGGGGACACCCAGGAGTCAGGCTGGTCAAATGTGGTGGGGGCTGCCACCAGCTTCATGTCCCAGCACCACACTTCCTAGCTGGGCAAATTGCTTTGCCCCTCCTGGCCTCATCTTGCTCATCTGTGAAATGGGTGGACACTGTGCCTATCTCAGAGGGTAGCTGTGAGATTTACTGGAGGGATTCCAGGCAGGGCCCTGACAACAAGGCCTGACAGTACTCGAGAGACTTAGGTAACTACTACTGCCACTGTGACTATGACCTCTACTACTCTAAGATGAGGGACCGAGGCCCAGGAGGCCACCACTTCACCACAGCTCTTCCCTGTTAAACCTCCGTGTTGACATTACTCCCAAACTATATAAAAGTGCAAAACCCTGGGGGGGGGGAATAAAAACACCCAAAACTATGGTGTGTGGGGGGGGTATATCTGGTGCGGACTGAAATGTCCTCATGCCTGGCCATCCCCATCATCCACATCTCCTGCTCTCCCTTGCAGCCTGGCCTGGCAGCACTCACCCCCCTGCGTGCTGAGGGCATTACCGGACCTGGACTGATTGATTCCCCTTAATTGCTTTTAATTTCCTAGGCTGACACTTCCTCCTCTCCTTTCGGAGGCTCCTGAGTAAACAGAAAATCGGTCACCCGATGAGTAAGTACGTGCCAGCAGCCACCCAATGGCAGGTGAAGTGGGGTGTAGATTACCAACACCTGTGCTTTTGAGACGCCCTGTACTTAAGAAGATACATGCTTGCCACAAGCGTTTACAGAGAGTCTAAGAGGCTCTAGGGGAGGTGCTGGATACAAAGAGGAAAGCACTGTCCTCCTTCCTGCAGCTTGCAGCCCCTGTGGGGAGAAGGTCAGGAACACAGCAGCTATAGCGGGAGTATCTCAGCTAGTCCCGGGTTAAAAGAGACCCTGTGCGTTTCACTAGGCAAGGGCTCATTCATCATGTATCCTCCTATTGGGGGTGGGGGTGGGGGTGGGGGGTGAGCACTGGGCTGCAAAGGACTTGCCTGCCCTTGGTTAGAACACAACCCTTTGTAGACTGGGGATTCCCGGTTCTAATTTGGATCGATCTGTGCAGGGGAGTTTGGAGGGAGGGGAAAAGCCATGCTTGATGTTCTGATTTGCATGTCAGGCAGGGGAGGAAAAAGAGATCAAGAATGCTCTGAAGAGCCTGAAAAATATTCTTCCTACAAGAATGATGTGCCAGGAAGCATGAAACAGACCTTGTCAGTTACCAGGAAGGACTGGGGAACCAAGACAGCCACAGACATTCAACAAGAGTAAATGCACATGTTTCCCAGAGACCCAAGAAGTCTTTCCTCCTTTTTTTTTTTTTTTTTCTAAAGCCAGTTGGGCTGACTGGTGACCCTGCCTGCCTTTATGGAACTTGCTCCATTAACTGGGTTAAAACACTTGCCCTGGTTCAGGGCAGCAGCAACCACAACCAACAAAGCTGAGTCCTGTCCAGGCCACTGCCCTGCCCACCACCCCCACC